CTACTACTACTACTACTACTACTACACTACTACTACTACTACTACTACTACTACTACTACTACTACACTACTACTACTACCACTACTACTATATACAACTACTACTACTACTACTACTACTACTACTACTACTACTACTACTACTACCGCTACGACTACTACTACTACTATCACTACTACTACTACTACCACTACTACTACTACGACTACTACTACTACTACTACTACTACTACTACTACTACTACTACTACTACTACCACCACTACTACTCCCACTACTACTACCACTACTACTACTACCACTACTACCACTGCTACTACTACTACTATCACCACCACTACTACTACTAGCGTCACTACCACTACTACCACTACTACCACTGCCACTACTACTACTACCATTACTACTACAGCCATTACCACTACTACTATAATACAACTACTACTACTACTACTACCACCACTACTACTACTATCGCCCCTACCACTACTACCACTGCTACTACTACTACTATTACTACTACTACCACTACTACCACTACTACTACTACTACTACTATTACTACTACTACCACTACTACCACTACTACTACTACTACTACAGCACTACTGCTACTACTACTACTACTACTACTACTACTACTACTGCTACTACTACTACTAGTACCACTACTACTAATACTACCACTACTACTACTACTAGCGCCACTACTATTACGACTACTACTAGCACTACTATCACTACTACTACTACTACTACTACTACTACTACTACTACTACTACTACTACTACTACTACTACTACTACTACTACTACTACTACTACTACTACTACAACTGCTCTTTTAAAATGATCCAAAGAGACAGAATAAAGCAGAGTTATTTTGAGTCTGGCACTGAAGCAGCTCTCGTTTGTATAATCGTTGTATTAATAGATCAGTTCAAATCTTTGTGTGCACAAAAAGAAAAGTGAGTGAGGAGGAGGACGAGGAGGAGGAAAAGAAGGAAGAGAAGGAAGAGAAGGAAGAGGAGGATTGTGAGAGAGTTTGTGGATAAATAAACGCGGCGTCCATTTTGAGCTGAGTTTAAAATAGCAGCTTCACGGTCTGAACAGGTGCCATGTGTCTCTGTGAGTGAGTGTGTGCGTGTGTGTGCGTGTGTGTGTGTGTGTGTGTGTGTGTGTGTGTGTGTGTGTGTGTGCGTGTGTGTGTGTGTGTGTGTGTGTGTGTGTGTGTGTGTGTGTGTGTGTGTGTGTGTGTGTGTGTCAGAGCTGTCGAGTAAACAGGAAAACACTCACACAAACACAACTATATTTTATCCAGGCAGTGGTGGAAAAAGTCAAATGTATTACTTAAGTAAAAGTACAGACAGATACAAGGGCAAAAATGACTCAAGTAAAAGTAAAAGTATCATATATAAAAACAGACTTAAGTAAAAGTATTGCAGTACCCATTTAAATGTTAAATGTAGTGATATTGACCAAGAACAGTCACTATTTCTGAACTGTTCTGTGGAATTTCATGTGTATATTTGAGTTTTTTGCTTCAGGACTTGAAGTAAAAACGTTTAGTCAGGATCATTTAAAATGTACCTTTCACTTTTTTGTCCAGTTCAAAAATGTAGCTGAGTAAAATGTACAGATATCTGCTCTAAAATGTTGTAATGAAGTAAAAGTAAAAAGTATCCAGTGTAAAAACTGACTTATGTAAAGTACAGACACCTAACAGCTGTATTTAAGAAGAGTACTTCTACTTTTGTACTTTGTTACTTTCTACCACTGTCTAAAAGTTTTCTTATATATGAGGACTGGTTATACATTTTAGGTATAAGTCCTCTACTACTACTACTACTACTACTACTACTACTACTACTACTACTACTACTACTACGGTTACTTCTACTGCTACTACTAATACAACTGCTACTATCACAGCTGGTACTACTACTACTACTACTACTACGACTACTACTACTACTACTACTACTACTACTACTACTACTACTACTACTACTACTACTGACTACTACTACTACTACTACTACTACTACTACTACTACTACTACTACTACTACTACTGCTACTACTTCTAATAGTACTACTACTACTACTACTACTACCACCGCTGATACTACTACTACCACTACGACTACTACTACTACTACTACTACATCTAGGCCTAGTAGATTGATGATATCAATAATATGTTTACTACTATTATCTGTACAAGCTTAGTACTACTGCCATGCTATAGTTAGTTTCACTACTACTACTACTAAAACTTCAAGTTTTATTCAACTACTGCTAGTACTACTATTACTACTAAAATAATATATTTAATTATGAGCTTTGTATTACAAGGAAAACACATTCAGATAAACATATAAACTACAACTACTACTATAACTACTACTACTATTACTACAACTACTACTATGACTATTACTACAACTAAAACTACAACTACTATTACAACTACTACTATTACTACTACTACTACTACTATCTCTTCGACTACAGCTGTACTAGAATATTTGGTTACTAGATTAGTACTAGAGTAAAATACAGAGCAGTAAATAAAGAGATCTTGTAATAATAATATAATGTCTTGTATTTGCTTTACAAGTTTCTCAAAACAGTGCAGAGCTAAACAGTCGTCATGGCGATTCAAAACAGATTGTGTAAAGGTTCATGTGGATTTATTACACAACTAAGCCAGTTAAAAATACTCCCTACTACTTCTGTTACATGCAGGTCTATCTACATTAATGGCACCAGTAATACAAGGTTGGTACTACTGCTATGACTGCAGTGGTCACTACTACTACTACAAGTACTACTACAAATTGTATTCAAGTACTACACAAAATATTATAGCTGTGTCTGAAATGCTCTGTCCAAATGTATTTATCTTATACTTTATATTCAATTATTAGGTGTTTTACTGCTAAAAATCTTGTAGCCACCTCTCCACAGATCTGATATGTAACTTGGCCTGGTTGCATCATTCGCTTGTGTCCATGGAGTTTAGTTTAATGCCCTAGTGCGGGACTAAACGGTGGACCAGACATGCATCATGAATTTCAGACTTCCGGTCATTGTACAATTCATACTGGGAAGGATTTTCCACAAAAGTGAGCATCAAACCGTCATGTTTGTTTTCCCAGTGGGATGTGTCTATTGACAAAGCCGATCTTTTCAAGTCTTTTGAACCATTTCACTTTTGTTTCTGGTTCTGATATTGTCATATTTTAGTGATGGGATTCAGACATGGTAATTGTGTGGTTGTTGGATCCTAACAGCGGAAAACAGCTCGAGAAATGGGCTTTGGAAGTTTGCGAACTCCATAAATGCAAAAGGGAATCAGATGTGTGTGACTCAAACCTCTGTTCAAACTGTTTCTCTTCACAACAGAATTGAAAAATAGTGAAAGGTGAAGGTGATGGGCAGGACTGATCCACAGGAAGGACCAAAAATGAATCCTTTGACTGCCTAAATCATCTCAAGTTTGCAGAAAACATTTTGTATGTGAAGTGCTCAACCTTGGTTACGAATTTAACAAGTCAACGCTAAAGCGAAAGGCAAGAACAAGAAAGTGCAGCTCAGTCTGTTTGTCTTCTGCACCTCTCGCTTCACAAACGGAATTTTGCTTTGTTGTCGCTCCACATACAAAATGTTCTCTGTAAACTCGGGATGATTTAGTCAGACAAATGTTTCCTTTTTGGTCCTTCCTGTGGATCAGTTCTGCCCATCACCTTCACCTTTCACTATTTTTCAATTCCGTTGGGAAGAGAAACAGTTTGAACAGAGGTTTGAGTCACACACATCTGATTCCCTTTTGCATTTATGGAGTTCACAAACTTCCGAAGCTCATTTTTCGAGCTGTTTTCCTCTGTTAGGATCCAACAACCAAACAATTATAATGTTCAAATCCCCAAACTAAAATATGATAATATCAGAACGAGAAACAAAAGTGATATGGTTCAAAAGACTTGAAAAGATCGACTTTGACAATAGACACATCCCACTGGGAAAACAAACATGGAGGTTTGATGCTCACTTTTTTTGGAAAATCCTTCCCAGTATGAATTGTGCGTTGAGCCAGAAGTCCAAAAGTCTTGATGCATCTATTCCAGGAAAATAGAATATATTACTTCAGAATGGAGACAAGACAGTAACGCCCACTCTCCTAGAAAAGTTACACAATATGGCTTTAATCATGAAGTACAGGAAGTGCTCCACTGTGTTTTTAAACTCCACACACCTTCACTAGAATCATTTGGATCATTTCAGCTCTGGAACTGCCAAACTCTACTGAACTGAAGGTAAAAGGAGCTGTTCACCTTTGGAGATGTAATAAAGAGAAACTCAAACACGTGTGAATGAAACAAAACAACTCTGCATGTGTGTTTGAGGAGGTAACGACATTACAACATGGTTTAAAGTGTAATATAGGACCTTTAACGAGAAGCTGTTATAACTGAGTGACATTTTGACCAATCAGAGCAGAGTGACAGAAGGATCATTTGTCTTTTACAACTTTTTGAAATGTGAAGAAAATGCAGATTTACATTTCACACCTGAATACACAGAGACTACTCTGTTGTTGCAAATAAAGGTTTTCTTCTGTTGAAATTGAAGTAGAAGTAGTAGTAGTAAAGTATAGTAAATTGCCTAAATACTATATGTCTATAAATACTACTTTTCATTACTGCTGTATTATTACTAATATTATGTATCATGAATTTCCTTCATCATCCATCATTCCATTCATCATTTGAAACAGTTTGCACTGTTCTAAAGTTCTTCCTCACTTATGCCTTATACATTCAGATCATTCTATTTACAGTGTTGGGGAGTAACAGATTACATGTACCAGAGTTACGTAATCAGAGTACAAATTATGAGTAACTGTATTCAGTTACAGTTACTGTTTCAGTGAGTGGTAATTGGATTACAGTTACTTTGTTGAAATAAATGGATTACACGGCAGTATTTTCCTGTTTTCACTTTATTTTTATTTATTTATTTTTTTGGTAATTCCACTCATTGCTGGAAACTAAACCAGGTCTAAACCAGGACTAAACCAGGACTAAAACCAGGTCTGAACCAAGTCTAAACCAGGACTAAAACCAGGTCTAAACCAGGACTAAAACCAGGTCTAAACCAGGACTAAAACCAGGTCTAAACTAGGACTAAACTAGGTCTAAACCAGGACTAAAACCAGGTCTAAAACCAGGACTAAAACCAGGTCTAAACTAGGACTAAACTAGGTCTAAACCAGGACTAAAACCAGGTCTAAACCAGGACTAAAACCAGGTCTAAACCAGGTCTAAACCAGGACTAAAACCAGGTCTAAACCAGGTCTAAAACCAGGACTAAAACCAGGTCTAAACCAGGTCTAAACCAGGACTAAAACCAGGTCTAAACCAGGACTAAAACCAGGTCTAAACTAGATCTAAACTAGGTCTAAACCAGGCCTAAAACCAGGTCTAAACTAGATCTAATCCAGGACAAAAACCAGGTCTAAGATAGGTCTAAACCAGATGTAAACTAGATCTAAACCAGGTCTAAACTAGGTCTAAACCAGGACTAAAACCAGGTCTAAACTAGATCTAAAACAGGACTAAAACCAGGTCTAAACCAGGACTAAAACAGGACTAAACCAGGACTAAAACAGGACTAAACAGGGACTAAACCAGGTCTAAACCAGGACTAAAACAGGTCTAAACTAGGACTAAAAACAGGACTAAACAGGACTAAACCAGGACTAAACCAGGACTAAAACAGGACTAAACCAGGACTAAACCATGCTGCGTGGACGTGTCTCCTCCTCTTCTATCACTAATATTTTTAATATGGTTAAGTATCCTCGTCTTTGCTTCTCTACAGCAAATCAAGTAATCCAAAGTATTCAGATTACGTTACTCACTTTAAGTAATTTAATGGATTCTGTTACAAACTACATTCTGGGGTATGTAATCTGTAATCTGTAGGGGAATACATTTTAAAAGTCACCTTCACAACACTGTCTATTTATTCACCATGATGAGTTTGTAAACACTTTTCACAAACTCTCACAGACCAGAGCAGAGTTTTGTCTTCACAGTAAATGATCACATTTTCACGCAGCTTTATACATACGGCAAAACACTTTACAACAAGGAACCACTCACACATTCACACACATTCATACACCAGTGCACACAGACACTGGGGGTGAGGTGGGTTAAGTGTCTTGCCCAAGGACAGAACAACAGTATTCATCTGTGTGAACTGAGCTCAAACAATGATGTTGATGTCGTGCGCAGGATTCAAACTGCCAAATTCAGATCAGTGGACAAACCCTCTACCATCTGAACTACTGTCACCCCTGCTAACAACAACAACTAGCATGCTAACATCACACACTTCCTGATTATCTGACAATATATACACTAGAAAGTAAAGTAAGTTCAAACAGATGTAATTTTCTACTCTATCCCATTTATCTCCAAAACATGCGCAATAGAAAAAACTCCAAAGTCAAGATCTGGAGATGAGTCTCACTTCTCCAGACAGATTCAACCCACAGACTCTGAAAGATGAAAGATGGGTCTGGGTCAAATGCAGAAGACAAATCTCCACAGGGATTTCATGCTGTGTTGAATTGGGGAAAACAATGTGTAAAATGAAAGCAGCTAAAATATCTATTTTCCTTCATTTGTATTTTCTTTATTTGGTCATTTCAAAACATTTCCTCAAATTTGGGGCATTCAACTTCAAGTGTTTTATTTCAAGAGAAACTAAAGCTCCATCATGTGTTTCTTAATCATTTTCAACAAGAGGAAAATACAGTATATGACATTGGTTTATAATGACTTTTACTTCAACGCAGACAGTACACAGCAGATGTATTTTGACCTCAACAGTTGCTCATAAAATATAATCTGTACTGGAGAAAAACAATTAGCTCAGATACTCTGGAAAAGTCCAGAGCCTTTAAATTAAAGCTGCATTGTGTAACTTTCCTGGTGGAGGGTCCATCAAATGCAGTTCTCCATGAGATGTTATTGCTTTATCTGGAATGTTTCACAGTATGGTATTAAACTGTTCTATTTTCATGGAGACCAAACCAAACCAAATTACAGGTCAGATCTGTGGAGAGGCGACCTCACTCACAGTCAGAATGTCTGTTTAAATATAAAACCACCTGTAATTGAATAAATATAAAGTCGAGCTGTTTAATGTCACACTGGAACATTCCAGACAGAGCAGTGACATCTCCATAGAAACAAGCAGGTGTTGGACCCTCCACCAGAAAAGTTACACAATGCACCAAAAAAAAAAAAAAAAAGTAATTAAAATTTAAAAAATGTTATTTCCTTACAGTGTTTGTGATCATGGAGGTAAGCCCCGCCCCTCAGTCCAAAGACGTCGACCTGACAGAAGACCTGGGACAGCGGCTGGAGGACATCATCAGCACCTACCAGAGCTCCACCTCTGACACCCCCACCCCAGGG